GAATATTTCAGGAGTGTTCCAGATTATAGTTTCTCATTACTCTGGCTGAAACTGAAAACAAGATAGGATTAAATGTGTAAGCACTTTATTAATTAATAGGATGTACCTGTGCTAGGACCTGAATGCTTAATTCCCTTCAAAAGCCCTACATTGAAACCTAATATATAGTATAATAATGTGGATAAGTGTGGCATTTGCTGGGTAATAGCTTGGGATGGCAAGGTCTATGAATACCAATATTATTTTTTATCATTAGGATTATAGGGACTTATTAGTCCTTCCCATCATGAAGATAACTTCTGTAATGAATAAGCCCTCTCCAGATACCACATACACTGGTAATAGTATTCTCGGGTCTTCTCACATCCAAAAGTGTAAGAAATTGATATACTTAGCTTACCAACCAGCTAGGTTGTGAGATTTTTTGTTTGGAAAACCTAAATGTTGTGAGAGACCATGTGTGCGTTAAATGACAATGTTAGGAAAAGCTGAGAGAATTATCAGCCATTCTGCAAGCTTTTTTTTTTTCCTTGAGAATGAAATACACCATTTCAATGTCTAAACAAAAGACCATTAGATCTTCTAGCAATCCAAATACCAATGTCACCAGAATTCCTGGTTCATTTGGAAATGTAACTTTGGCATTCATGACAATGATGGATTTCAGACTACAACAGCTTGTGCCTTCTATCCAATTGCATTTGCTGCAGGAAGATGTTAGAGGACCAGTTTCCCAACTTACCCTCTAGTTCAATTAAATGAAGTCAAATGGCATATTTAGCAGTAAGATGGATACTAAAATACCAATAGATTCTGTTTTAAGGTATCCTAATAACTTTGGCAGTTGTGCTTTACATATTCACTATTCAAACTCACATCTTATTATATTAAAGATAACTTTAATTTGAATACCTCACACTCAGTTCCCAAATAATCCTTTGTATTCTTATCATATATTTGAGTAAAAGCTTTGTGTAGTATTAATCTATGTTATTAAAATGACACAGAACCTGTAAGGTTAAGTTGCAGCAAATAGAAAATCAGTGAACATATGGGAAGTAAATATAAGAGCCCAGACACAAGTTATCTCTTTTCTGTAACCCTGGCGATGACTCAGGTGAAAAAAAAATAATGTTTTGTGACTGCCAGACACAAGAAAATCTCAATGATAATGGTAGCAAAGATTAGGTAATAAATATTGGTCCAAATTCATTTTTATCTCGGTTAAATTTCTGATGAAACAAAAGAAAATGCTCAAAATATTTGAACTCTGTGGGACAGAGCGGAAAAGGCCATCAATATGATGAAAAAATGCACTTTACTAGATTCCTCTCTTTCTTGGGGTCAGTTTGAAGATTGTGTGGATGGAGTTTTAATGAAACTCTCAAGAGCTGTGCTTAAACATATTTATTTTCAGAATGCAATGGAAGCTATGTGCAAGCAAAGATGCATGTAGGTTACAGAACTTGTTGTAGCATATTTGCTAAGTGGGAAAGGGAAACAAGAATGCTCCTATTTTTATGCAAAAAAATCCTCTCAGTAATGTCCGTTTGTGAAATAATAATAAGAAAAAGGTATTCGCAAGCTTACCGGAGCTTTATGGAAATCAGTTCTCTAAGAATTCTTAGCTAGTCACAAGTCTGACATGCATATTTTTTTTCTGAAAAATAGGAGCAACATGGAATATAAAGGCAATTTAATTCTCTTTTGTAACTAGCTTGCATTTTAAAGAAGAAAATGGAACATTATTTAGTGTATTTAATAAATTGAAAATAATTAAGCATTTAAATATAACGAAAGTAGCTATTTAAAATATAAAAGATAGTCAAGTGAATCATGGCAGAAACACAGTCTCATGAGTTATATAAAACTAAAAAGTCATTATAGGTTTGCAAATGAGTGCCATTTGATTTATACTTTATTTCCAGTATGAAATAAAAAAAAGGCAGTTTATAGAGTTTCAACTTTTTCTTGAAGTTTTAAATATGTTGTCTTCTCTTATTCTGAACCTAATAAATTAAGCAATGAAACGCATTAAACTTATACATTACCTAATTCTACATATTTTTGCCAGCTGCTCACATTTTATTGAGTAATTCATTATCAGTGTACTGGCATATTTTTGTTGATGAATCACATTGTTACATAAGTAGAACAAGGGTGTCCTGGTGATGTATTAACTCAATAACTCAGATGCCGGTGGAATTAAAGGATTTGAGGAAGGTTCAATCTGACTTCTTAAAACCATTGCATATTACATTTAATAGGTGAGACATGATGACTCACCCGTAACAGCTTCCATACTTCTGTTTCATAATGGTGATAGTTGAAAGATGAAAACAGTAAAATTTAACTCTGACATCCACATTTCCAACTTTCTCAACTTTGATAATTATTCTGAAGATTGGCTTCTATCTATAAGCAAAAGTTCTAATGACGATATTAGCTCCCTGAGTAGAGAGTCATTATTTTTCAATCATTGAGTACTTTGTTTATTAATGCACAAGTAAGATATTCTAGTGCATCAGGATTATGCCATAAGGTATAGCACATGATACATCTTACCATAAGAGCACATATTGTCAAACTTTTCCTTGCTTTGCCAATCAGTTCCGTTTAACATTCAGTTTTGCATTTTAATTCTTTTTGAAACAAATGATATTTGCCCTCTGCTTGTCTTCTTTCACATATCATGGCACCCCTAAATTAAATTCTTGTCTTCTTTCACATACCATGGTTCCCCTAAATTAAATTCATGTTGTTGGAAATGACGAGTCTGTTCTTTCAAGTGGATGAACAGCGTCACTTTGTGAATTCTAACAGCATTTTATTTAGTTCATACATTTATTGGATATAAAACGTATATAAGAGTTTGTTTACTGATGTGTGTTGTAGCACCACACAGGAGCACAGACTGATTTGGTTGTATTTCTAGCTTTATATCGCCTGATCGTATATCAGTTCTATTAGTAGTTAAAAAACATACTATTCAGACCATTCTTCATACTAATAACATTAACATGCATTGCCATTCACTGTGTGTAATGCTTCAGAGTCCTTATACGTTCAGTACTGAATATTTTTAATCTTTTATAATGGTCATCTTATTAGCCAGCATGATGTTCCATTGTTTTGTTTTTTTTTTGTTGTTGTATTTTTTTGTAGACTAATAATCTTGGTCATCTTAACATACACATGTGTACTTGTTGACTTTTGCTTTTGAACAATGTCTATTTTGGTGATCTACTGCTTATTTTAATTGAACTTTTTTATTTTTGTGTTTAATTTTACTGTTTATTCAGTGTGATGAGATATCTGTTCTTGCATAGTTTCCAAATCTAATTTCATATTTTCCAGGTTCTGTCTTCATGTGCTGTGAAGAAACTTTTTAATTTCAAATAATCTAATTTGTGTGACACTGTATCTGTTCCCTAAACATTTGGAGATTCTAGATATTATTGATCACCCCACTGAATTTTTTTTCCTCTTTTCCTTCTGGTAGTTTCATTTCTAAGATTTAACTCTTTAATTTATATGGGATTGTATTTTAAGAATTAAGAGTTCATTCTCCTACATGTGGATAATAGATTTTTCCAGAACTATTACAAAGACTCTGGAATATCTGGAGTATACTCTAGTGGGGAAAAATAGCTCAATTGTCTAAAATGCATGAAGTCATGACGTGCATGGTTAGCTTTAGTCTTTCTTCTTTTTTTTTCTGTTACTTTGGCCCATGACTTTGCCTAGTTATTGCCACCATACTGCTTTGAAATAGTATCTAATTCAGTTTTATCTAATAGAACTGGCTGAAATAGCTAGTGTTGATTGTCAACTTGACACTCTTCGGAATCACCTAGATAAAACAATGCAAATTACTACTATAGGAAATTATTTTGACTGTTATGCAAGGTAAGAGATGCATCATAATAATGGACAGCACTATTCCCTTGAATTGGGTTATGGAGTTCATAAAAAGAAAAAAAAATATTTCAGCTTAGTTTCATTGTTCTGACATTACATGCTTCAGTGACTTTCCTGCCAAGACGGACTGAATTCTCAACTGTGAGCTAAATAAAATCTTCCTCCTTTAAGTTCCCTTCTTACTTGTTGTGTAAGAAAACCAAAAACAACAAAACCCAAAAAATTCAAAACAACTTACATACATGCTGGGTAGTCAAGACTACTTTTGAACATCTCATCCTTCTTCTTTATCCATTTAATAAATGCTGTCATTAAAGGTACACACCTTTAATCGTTCACATGTACTAGGAATTAAACACAGTTTTAGCCAGGTAACAGTGGTGCCAGACTGTAATCCCAGCACTCAAGAGGCAGAGGCAGGCGGATCTCTGTAAGTTTGAGGTCAGCCTGGTCTACAAGAACTAGTTTCAGAACAGGCTCCAAAACTACAGAGAAACCCAGTCTCAATAAATAAATAAATAAATAAATAAATAACAAAAACGAAAAAAAGAGTTTTATAAATATTAGGCATGAGTCTAACGAACTGGGATAAATCAGGAGCCCAATGCCAAACAGTTATAATGATCAAATGACTGCAAATTTTTCATAAAATTTGAAAATATGAATGTAATAGCTTCTAACCTGTCGTTTTATGCAAGATTTTTTGGGTTTCTTGAGATTAATGAATCCATTTAAAATACATTTTTCTGGTTCTGTAAAAAATCTCATATCTTTATAGGAATTACAATAAACCTGCAAATTTTGTGTAATTTGTATGTTTAACAATAGGGATCTATTCTGAGAAAATCTGATGTTATTCTATTTTATTTACTCTTCATTTCTTCCATCAATGTTTTATGACATTCATTGTACAATTATATTTCAACCATTTATTTTATTTATTTACGTATAATTTTATTACTATTATAATTATGAGTCTTGTATTTTGGAAAGTATGATATTGTTTGATAACATGATACAGACATTATAGGTTCATTGTATATTCTAGAAAAAGATAAACTGCTCTATTTTATTACAAGGTGAGGGTCACTGTGACTAGATACTACAATGCCAGATCAATATGTGTATTACACAGAGCCACTATTTCAATTCTCTGCTCCTAAAATCCACTTAATGTATCATCCTCAAAGAGATGACGTATCATAAATTATACTGATAAAAACAGACAGTACATTTGTTCTTATATCAAAGGCTGAAAATGATAAAATTGTGAAAAGTATTGATTAGATCTAATAGATTTTCATGGCACTTTTGGAATTGTTGTTATATAAAATTATGTCATCTCCAAACAGCATATTGCAAAGCGTTCTTTCTGTTTAGATCTGCTCTGTGCAGGAAAGGAAGGCTATGTGAACAAAAGCAAAAGTGGTGCTTCTTGTGTTATGATCTTAGCAGAAAGTCTTCAAATGTCTCACTTTGGTGTAATTTTAGCTCTTTGCTGATAAATATCTGATGTGGATTCCCCTATGTATGATGTGATTACCACTGATTAATAAAGAAACTGCTTTAGGCCTATAGCAGGGCAGAGCAGAGGTAGTCAGGGAAAACTAAACTAAATGTTGGGAGAAAGAAGGCGGAGTCAGGACATGCCATGGAGCCCCAAGAGGGGAAAGACATGAGCTGCCAGCTGGAAACTTGCCAGTAGGCCACAAGCCTCATGGTAAAATAATGGAAATGGGTTAAATTAAGATGTAAGAGCTAGTTAGCAATATGCTTAATGATTGGCCAAGCAGTGACTTAAGTAATATAGTTTTCTGTGTGGCTATTTCAGGAGTCTAGGCAGCTGAGAAATGAGCAAGCAGCCTCCCTATAACAAATAACCTTCAGTATACTGATGTATAGTACTTATATACCACCTCCATCTCATACTTGATAAGATATATTGAGATTTATCAAATGTCTTTCACACACCTATAGAAATGTCTTCCTGTTTCTTTGCCTTTATTCAGTTGAAGCATCATGGTTCTCAATTTCTTCACATTAAATATTGTCGTATCCCTAAGATTAATGCCTTCCATTTTATTGCATACCACTTTATTCGTATATAGTTGAATTTGTTTTTCTAAAGTTTTGTTGTGGATATTATTTGGGTCCAGGATCAATAAAGGTGTGCTCCTGTGGTTTTCTTTTAGTTCCTGCTTCCTCATGTGGTTTTGGTGTACGGTTGCTGCTTTTCCTATGGAAAATTTTATGTATAGTTTTGTCAAGGAATTTGTTCCTTTCTTCTAGGTCATCATAACTGTTGTAATCACATCCAATGATGCTAAGTGCACAGTGTTTTACTGTGCAGTTTTACAATGTTCATTTTTGTTTCTGATTTTACTGAGTGTAGTGGCTTTTTAAATATAAAATAAATTAAATATAAAATAAATTAAAAATAAATAAAAACTGCCTTAAGTTCTAAGAGTGACATAGTCGCACTGGTCAGCTTTAAAGACCAGATTATGGTAACACATGTTTAATCTCAGTAGTCATAATGACAAAAACCTTTAATACCAGTAGCCATGCTTGTTGCCATAGAAACTGGGTGGTGCATACCTTTAATGATAATGGTCTATGCCATTAATCTAAGCCCTAGAGAGGACTATAAAATTGGAGGAAACAGTTCTTAGTTTTAATTTCTGAAACAAAAATTTCCCAGTGTTTCTTATTTTCTGTAGTTACTTCATGTCTCCATAAACGGAGAACTGAATTTCTTTATCTATACCCATAACTTGATCCAGCTAACAGTACTGTACAAATCAATGAACACTGGCTAAATCCACAAGCATTTGGTTTGGGTTAGAGTCACTGACATAAAGAGCTTCACAGTCATCCAATTAAAGAAAGCTCTCTTCAGCTGCTAATGGTTAACAATTAGCACCAACACTTTTCTGCTCTAAACACGAGGCCTGCCCTTCCAGGTGTACATGCCTCTTTGAGAAAAAAAACAACAATATCCAGGTATAAAAATTTCTCAACGCGAAAAGTTACAACTGTAGCTTTCATTGTAAATGCCTTGAGCCTTTCTGTTCTTACTGTTTTCCTTCCTGAAATGATCTGTTCACCTCTTTTCAAACCTGAGTTCCTTCTTAAGAATTTGGGTCACACAGAAAAGGGCTTTGCAGTTAGGCTTTTCTGATAACCAATGTATTCATACTTTATGCACTCGTGTTTGTTTTCCTTCTTTAGTACAAGGTTCCTTATACAAGAATGAACTTTATTGGACTAACCAATGTTTGGTAACCATATAGAAATTACCATGGACATCAAAGACACACATTTAATATTTAATGCTGTTTAATAAGATTATGTTACTTGAATTGATGAAGAGAACATGTCTATCATATAAGACTTGAAAATGCAACTGCTAGCTATGTTACAGAAGTCACAGAAACATTCATCACAGTGCTACTTTCTCTACTGAACAACTGAAAACTCCCAGAGAATTAACTATTTGCAAACATCCTGACTAAAGTACTTTGACTATATACCCAAGCTTGAGAATCATTATCTCAGATGTGTTTGTGCCGATGCAAGTGAATCCTTAAATCCTGGATGGAATTCTTAGACGACATTGTTCATGGAGAAAGACAAGGCAGACTTAACTCATGAATTAGCTGCTTCGACACGAGTCCACCCAGAAACAGTTACTTATTCCTACTCAGGTGAAAATAAATCTGCCAGCCTCTGCAAAAATTTTGAAATCTGGGAAAATCGCTTGTTTGGGGACTTCCTTTCATACCATTTTTCACTACTTGTTTTAGCCCGAGGCAGCAAATTCCCTGTTCAAACTAAAAGTGATACCTACCCTCCTGAAGGCTTTTCTCTACCCAAAATAGAAGTTTCAAATTTTTGCACTTGAGACTTTTTATTATTCTTTATAATATAAATGTCAGAAAGTTAATGTAATCATATACATTTTATATCTAAGAATAAAACATACTTTTAAAATACTTATTTGATAATAAAAATTGTAGTCATAAACACATTGGAAAACAGATAATTCTTTGTGTTTGGCGATGATATAGATTGTTCTCATAAAATCCCAATAAATCCAAACTTCAGGTAAATGTAGTCTCACTTTTGAGGTTTCTTTTGTGGCAAGAAGATATTTATTCCAGCTAGGAAAGGCATGTTTAGAGGGCATATAATATGAATGATGACAGGCTTCTAAAGGAATAACTATTGTTGAAGATATCTACTACTTTTTCATGTTATTTCTTTGCCTACAGGTAATGCCACTGAGCCACCATACTTACACGAGGCAGTAAATTTTGGCAGAACTTGGGGATTTGGGCTTGGCTTTATATTTGTAATTCTATACTATATATCTCTAATCCAGTTCTAGGACTTATGGTAATCTCTATTTTAGGAGCAGCACTATCCATGAAAGGTGAATTTATATGAGCCACATTAAGGAACTCTCTAGAAATTTAGCATTCAGTGGCATGGTTGGAAACCTAGTGCAGTGAAAACTTCCTGGACCTTATGAGGGTGACCTCACCGAGGACTCTTAGCAGTAGAGGAAATGGACACTGAATAGGCTATCTACTGTACCAGGAAAAGCATCCAAGATTGGGGCACCAACCCAGCCACAAATCAATGGACCTACAACCTGTCCCACCTTCAAGATGTGCTCGGACAATGGTGACTAAGAGCTTGTGGGAGTGGCCATCCAAAGACTTGAGGCCCAGGCAAGAAAGAGAGTTTATGCCATGTTGTCCCTGGATAGCCAGGAACTTGGAAACTGATGGCTCAGAGAACTAAGGTAGAACCAAACACAACAGACAACACCAACAAAAACAAGAAAATCAATGGAAAAGTTCGTAAGGATATTCTGCTATACTCATTTACTCATAAATCAGAATCTACCCGAGGTCTCATCAGAGAGACTTTCTCTGACAGATTTTGGGAACAGATGCAGAGACACACAGCCAAACACTTTCCAGAGCTTGTGGAACCCTGAAGAAGAGGGGCGGGGAGAAAGGATTTTAGGAGTCAGAGCATTAGAGGATACCAAAATAACACAGCCCACAGAATCAACCTAGCAGAGCTCATAGGGGCTCACAGATACTGAAAGAGCAATCACAGAGCCTGCATGGATCTGTGTTAAAACCTTTGCATATGTGCTGTGGTTGCTTAGTTTAAGATTTCTGTGGGACTCCTAACAGTAGGAGTGGGGAGTGCCTGGCTTTTTTGCCTGCTCTTTGGACCCTTTTCCTCCTACTGGGTTGCTTCTTCAAACTGTAATATGAGGGTGTTCCTAGTCTTATTGCATCTTGTGATGTCATATTCATTGCTATTCATCTGAGGGCTGCCCTTTTCTGAAGGGAAATGGAGATCTGGGGGAGATGGAGGGACTGGAAGGAGCAGAAAAAAGGAAGGCTGTAAGTATTCTTAATGCAGTTGTTTTAATGACCTCGACAAGAGAAAGCTATATTCATAGCAATACAAAGAAACAACTGAACCACTATTTTGCTCAATATTTCAGGGAATGCTCTGAAAACAATGTGGCTATAGAGATCCTTGTATTTAAGGCTCAGAATAGTTACAGATTTTAAAGATGTTTGTTAGTAGTTTTAGTCTCTGATACTGAACAAAATATTTTCACTTAAAATTTTAGCCAGTAACAATTATTAAAAAAAGTTAAAGTAAAGCATTTTAAGTAACAGAACCTAAATTGCAGACTGTGATTCATGTTACTGGTGAATATGTCTTGGTATTTTATAGTAACTCCTATTTTGAGATTTTTACCAACTAATGCTTAAAACTAATTTTTTTTCTTCTGGTTGCTATGAAATATCCAAATCAGTATTCACAACGAATGCCCTGATTCCTCTGATTTGACATCTTTTCTACAAAACAAAAACAAAGAAATTAATTAACAAAACTAACACAGGCTGTATGGTGTATGCTAAGGTGAAAATATAAAAATATTCTAAGAAAAAGCCGATGCCTTATTCGTGTTTAAGTAGTCACACTATTTTTTCAATATGTTCAACCTTCAAGGCTATCTTGGCCTGATTGTTTATCACATTGAGCCCCACCCCTCAGACAGCTTCCTTTACCATGATGCTCATTGTCATACATTTACTAAAATAAGTATCTTATTTTGATATTTTCTTTTGATTTTAGTTGTTTTGTTTCCACTTTTTAAAATTAGAGTCTCTGAATCAGAAACTCTTGTTACTTTCTCCTAGGAAATCTTAAAGCAACTTGAC